GACACAGGAAAAAAAATGAAGCAAATGCATAGTCTTTTCATAACACAATACATCCAGAGCCTCTTTGAGAACCTGGCATTTACAACCTCTGTCTGAAATACTAAGATGTCTGTATCCTCCTGTTGGAATCTGACTGATGTTGCATTATGCTTTAAATAGAATGGCATTTAGTGACACAGTTGTGTCTAGGGCCTCATAGAGACACCTGTAACTCAAACTCGATCTATCTCCAGTGAATATGGATGTCCAGATCACCTCCATAAAGGTGGTTATTTCTGAAGTCTTTCTAAAGACAAAAACCTTTAGGCAGCATTTGTCTCTAAGTTATACCTTCCATGAGGAACTTAAGTCTGAGTTGTGGTTCTTATAAGTTTATTCAAACACAACATTTCTAAAAGTGTCTCTCCACCTGAAGAAGTTTGCACACGTGGATTTGAAACAGGAGGTACAATGCACGCACCTTCTTCCCCTTCTGGTGGGAGCAGTAGAACCAAGAAATGTGCAGGTCTTCAGGTGGGAGAGTGTTACAAGGGCCTGAGAATCTTAGATTGTTACAATTCCTCTCCGGAAGCCACCCCAAAGAAATTTCCTATTGATTCAACCCAAAAAGGAGTTTGCTTTATTTCCCAGCACAGAGTGTTTGCTTCACAATAGTCATGATGAGAGGTATATTAGAGAACAGGTAAATATAAAAGGCAAAATTTTGAAGTGGTTCTAGTTCATCTGGGTATCCAAACACCAAGGTCATTGCTTCCTCATATCACTCCAACATTTCTTTGATCAGTCTTCTTGCTCCCAGCCAAATCTGTCATTTAATATGATTTATACTGATGTGTGAAGACCAGCAATAACTTCAAATATATTCCTCAGGATGAGTTTTCATATCAGGAAGCATTAAAACTTTAAACTTCAGTAAAATCCTCAACAGGAGCAAAGTGCAATCAGTTACCTAAGAGCCAGGATGCTTTCCCAGCCATCAAATGTGATCAATGACTTGATATGATATCAAGTCATATTTTTAATCACTTTGTGTTGGACAGTCCACCACTTAGTTTGAGATATAATCCTACTCTTCCCTTTCCTTATACTTCCCTTTCCTTTGACGCCCCTTCATCCCTGAATAATTCAATACAAAATCCATCAGAGTCAAGCAAAGTGGACATGCTGTGATGATGGGCGTGGCAGGACAAGGCAGCCCAGCACCGGATGTCAGAGCCCACTCCGAGTGAGAAGGGTGTCTACACAATGTGGAGCAAGAGGCCAAGAGTAGCGATGGGATATATTGGCTGCATGCAGAATAAACAAAATAACTACCTATGTTGAGGCTAACAGAAGCCAGCTTTTAGACTGTTATGGAAGTGACTTACAAATATGAAAATGAAGAAAACTAGAATGAGCCCTAAAGAACAGAAATTTGGGGTATGAGTAAAATGTCTAAATATGCACCCACGTGTCTGTGTGCACGCATGATATGTTGTCAACCTCTGTCCACTGAGAGGGTGCCAGAATAGCAACATTGCAATAGCAAGGAACTCCCCCCGTGGCCATATCTCGGTCCTGTCAGTACAATGTTCCACCAGAAAATGAGGGCTCCCTGTAGATGAGACTGATTCTGGGGCTGGGGAAAGAACTGTGTAAGACCAGCTAGAAACATCATACAGCTGTCAGAAAGCAAGGGAGCGGGAACAGGGCAGGAGGACACGGAAGCCAGCAGGAAGGTGCACCTGCTGGTCTCCTCAAGAAAAAATTGACATCATAAAAAAAAAAACAATCATAAAGATCACAAAACCACTCACTAAATAAGAATCGCTATGTCCACGCTAAACACAAATCAATAAATTGGGGGTTAATGAAGAAGAGGATATCTATACAATTTTAAAAGACTGCCCCACACAAACAATTATAAAAGAGAGAAACGTTAAAAATGAAGAAGCCTCAGATGGGAGCCGGGCAGGACTGTCAGCATACAAATTGGGGGGCTTACATCCCCTAATAGAGTGTCTGTGCTCCAGTCCCTACTGTTTCTGACTGAGCTTCCCACGTGGGAGATAGTAGCCCATGGCTCAGGTACCTATGCACCTGGCCTCTCGCAGGAGACTCGCACTGAGTTCATCTTACGGCTTCAGCCTTGCCCATCCCTAGCTGTTGGACAAAACTGGGGAGTCAATCCCTTTCTCTTTATCTCTCGATCTATCCCTATCTCTCTCTCCGCTAAACTAATGAATACACTTTTGAATATAATAATAATAAATGCTGTTTCTGATGGTTTTAAAGGCAAAGTGAAATGGAGACTCTTAGCAGGTAAGTGATGACCACGTAAAAGTTCCGTTGCCCAGTGCGGTGCTCTCGGAAGAACGCAGCATCACTTTCAGGAGATTCCTGCCATTGATACCTAATCTGAATCTAATTACCAGATAACACAAAAGAAAGCCAAATGGAGAAACTCTTCACAACAAGTGGCCTATCGTTTCCATAAAGCTAAACATCAAGAAAGCCAAGGAAATACTGAAGAACTGTGCCTGGCTAAAGGGAACACGGCAAGGGAATAATTGACTTATTCTCAAATGGATTGGGTGAGCAACAATGAAGTAACATTAATCTCATAGTTGCTCTGGTTGTACCACGGCCACGTGAGACAGTGCACGTCTCTCAGCTGTCCCAGCTTATACACTAAACACATGTGGAGACAGGTAGTTAGGGTGGCGACTGATTCAAAGATAATTCAGAAAAAAAATATTTTTGCATTGTTCACTATTGTTCTATGAATATGAAATCATTTACTAAATTATAAGTGCAAACTAGTTCTTGATATAACATAAAAAAACACACTTTGTTTCATTTTCTTTATTATGATGGAATCCACTTGACACTGGCATATAAAATATTTTAAAACCATAAATCCAACAGATATTGTGGGAAACAAAATAAATTTATACTATATTTATAACTGATTTTTTAAAAGGTACAATATAATAATTTTCTTATATATTCTAACATTTTTAAAAAGATACATAAATTAGCAGACAATCTTCACAGGACTCAGCACCATGCAGAACTTTCAGGCCACTGTGGTGCAGTCTGAACCTCAGAACCAATGCAAAACTCAGCAAAAACCCAAGGTAACAGAATCCTTACCCTACGAACGCCTCCAGGTACAGCAATTTTCTCTCTGAAGAAACACAGCTTATTCCCTACTAGGATACTTCCCAAACTAAAGAAATGCCTTCTCACTCACCATAGTAGTTTTTAAAACTACTGTAACTAGGCCCAGTGCAGTAGCCTAGCAGCTAAAGTCCTCGCTTTGCATGCACGGGATCCCATTTGGGCGCCGGTTCTAATCCTGGCAGCCCCGCTTCCCATCCAGCTCCCTGCTTGTGGCCTGGGAAAGCAGCTGAGGATGGCCCAAAGCTTTGGGACCCTGTACCCATGTGGGAGATCCAGAAGAGGCTCCTGGCTCCTGGCTTTGGACTGGCTCAGCTCTGGCCATTGCGACCACTTGAGGAGTGAATCATCGGATGGAAGATCTTCCTCCCTGTCCCTTTTCTTCTCTGTATATCTGATTTTCCAATACAACTAAAAACAAAAAATCTTAAAAAAAAAAATAATAACTACCGTAACTTCTGGTCACCCAAGCTAGGTGTATTAATTATCTTTCCACTTGACATCAAATGTACTGTAAGTAAATTATACAGCAGGAATATTATCTCTTAAAAGTGGATTCTTCTTGAAAGAATATTTACTAGATCTCACAGTAAGTACTACTAAGTACTACTTCTATTCAATATTTATCACTAACAGTACACATTTCAACTATTAAATATTCAGTTCATTAAATATTTGCTATGCAGCAATCTTCTGCAATGTCTCAGGGTACAAATAAAGGGACAGTAACAATGATCACGATATCAGATTTAACCTTTAGGAATTCATCTTACACAACAACAGGCGCTGTTACTACAGAATTTAATAACAGCATTCTATAAGAAAGATATTAGGAAAAACTGGAATTATTAATATTGACATTCAGAAGAAGGCAAATGCCTGAAGCAAGTCATCGCAATCAAGGAGATGCGCGTGGATGATCAAAGTCTCAAATGTGGTCACGAAGTTAACACTTAGTGTTGCTCTGTCTGTATCAGAAAGTCAAAGGAGCACCTCTCATCCTTTACTCAAAACAGAAAGAAAAATAAAGGAGGGGCATGTGCAAAACAGAAGGGCTGTGCCAAGGAAACGAGCTGAAGGATTTATGGACTGAACTTTTTAAGATTTGTTTGTATTTATTTGGAAGAGTTACAGAGAGGTGAGGAGGGGCAGAGGAAGAGAGGGCTGTTCCATCTGCTGGTTCACTCCTTAAATGGCTGCAATGAGGTTGGGCAAGCCTGGAGCCAGGAGCCAGGAGCTTCTTCGTGGTCTCCCACATGTGTACAGTAGTCCAAGCACTTGGGCTGTCTTCCACTGCTTTCCCAGATGCAACAGTAGGGGGCTTGATCCGTGGTGCAGCAGCCAAGTTTCCCACTGATGCCTATCTAGATGCTGGCATCACAGATGGTGGCCTAACCCACTAGGCTGGCTCCAACTGATTGCATTTTTTTTTATGATTTTTTATGAAGATTCATTTTATTTCTTCGAAAGACAGAATGATGGAGAGGAAAAAAATAGAGAAAGTGACTGTATTTTTATATGAGACTAAAGTGATATTTTTCCACTAGCTGAGAGAATAACTGCCCATACAGGATCGGTCCCTGCTCTGCTGCCGAAACACAGCACCCTTTCACCCGGTAAGCCCAGAGGCAAGCCTGCCTGCACCAGTGCCGGCTAATCTGTTCATTTCAAGCCACGTTAATGCTACACATTGGGAAGGGTTACATCCTGTCAGTTACTAGTCAGCTGACATGACCCAGTGAACACAGTAAGTAGTATAATTTATTATAATGTAAATAGTCTCACGTCCTCAGAAATTCCTTCCAAAACTGCATGGACTAATGGAAACCACTGCACCCTACTCCCTGTCACTCATATTACTCATTCACAAAAGATACCATGCAATGAGAGCCAGCTAGGTAGTCACAGCAGAAATTCATCTTAAAGGTAAATATTCTAATTTTATGAATAATAACCTGCTTAGAAAAGTATACACAATTATTTGGAGACTGAATTTGTGCTTCTCACCTACCACCACCAGGAGGTGTGACTGTTGGTATCTAAAGAAAAATCTTGAAAACATTCAGAGGTTTGCCGTGTAGGCTATGCTTTCAAGCAGGCTAAAATACACATATTTGATGAATTTCAATACATGCCAAACTCTATTCACTGCTTGAAAATACATAAATGCAAAGCTGAGGCAGATGATCTAAATTAGTTCACATCCAGGGACGCAGTTCTCTTCACTGAAGCTGAGAGTAAAGTGGCACTCAGTAATTAGAATTCTAGAACTGTTGGTGAGAACTTGGGGGGTTTGATTTCCTTGGCTTTGTTCTGGTTCCTTCCACAGTCTGTCTCACGGGATCCCCGGGGACAGCATCTAACGGAAGGAGGCTCTCACTTTGCGGCCCTTCAGTGGCTGGGGCGGACGGTGGTTGCTCAACAAAAACGCTGCTGTTTCACCCTCGGCTGTACACAGGAGACCGCGGAATTTGGCCAGCTGATGAGGAAAGACAAGAGTTGGTTTCAGCAAAGAAAGTCACACCAATGTTAATGAATTACCCTGTGTAAAAAATGAAGAAACATGTGACCTTTCATCTACCAGGAACTGAAACGAAAGCAACGAAAATGTCTGTTACAGGTCACCCATAGCAAAACCATGCATTTGCTCAACTCTCATCACTACAGAAATATCAGTGAGCCTAAAAATCAAGTACTCAGCTTTTTCTATTCCAACGTCTAAGAAGGAGAAACAACACCTAGAATATGATTTCAAGAGTACATGTGTAGAAATTCAAGAATGTTTTTCTACCCATAAACACGCATATACACATTTTGTTACAAAGCTTAATTCAGTCAAATCTTAGCTTGAAATAATCTCTGAAATGTCTATCAATACAGATTCATATTACTACTTTAATTGCTGCAAAGTTTTCTACTATATTTTATAAAGTTCTAATAATTTATTAGTAGTTTAATATTATTTGTTAAGTCTGATTATTGGTTTACAGAAGTAAAATGAGGATTAAAAGTACCTAAATAATGCTGTCTTCTCAAAAACATTCACCAAAAACATCACGCTAGTTAATACAACTGGTTTTCTGGTGTTTGTTTTTGTGAAGATACATGGTTATCAAGATTGAGAAATTTCATTTAAATGTTAGTGATCATCTAATCTCAGAGTTCATCAGATTCAGAGGCAGACACATCCTTCAGGTTCCATCATCACCACTGACCCGAGGCCTAAAGCATTTCTTGTCCAGTACCAACCACAAGGGGGTGCAGAGAAAACAAAGACCCCTCATAATAAGAAGAAAACAGTAATGCAACCATGGTTTTTGGAGATAGGATCACCTATCACACACAAGTAACCACGTTTCCACTAACATCAGGAGCATAGCTACGGGACGGAAGAGAAAAACATATCCAAATTCCTCTCTCTTGTGTTTCATTAGACCAAATCATCATGGCCAAAACCAGATGAGATACTAAGGAACTGTCGGGTATGGTTAATTAGCAAAGACCAAGAAAAATTCCACCTGTGGTACCCAGGGGTGACCCCAGTGCTCTGTGGAGGCCATGCCAGGTCACTGCACAGTGGCACAGATCAGTGTGCCTTGCGTGCAAACTTCTCCCTCTACAGAAAGTAGCTTTATATTCTTTCCATACTGTTCCTGCCACTCAACTCCTCTCTGACCCTGACTCCCTGCCTGGGCAGCATTCCAGCCACGTCGATCTAGAACTGGATTTAACTTTATATCCTTCTCTAGCTAGCCTGGCATGTTAGCAAGAGTTTCCAAACCTGCCCTAATGTTTCATCAAACCCCTTCTCTTGAGGACTCATGATCTCTCCATCACTTGGGCAAGCTAAGTGGACCCCACCTTCCCCGCCAGCTCTCTGCGTGTATTTGCTTTGCTTAGCTCTGGTGTTTTCTAACACTGCACCGACTGAATTTCGCACCCCCAGCTGGTCTCCTCCAACTCCACCCTCCAAGGTGACCCCAGCCTGCACTCACACTGAAAACCTGGCGTCTCTGTAAAGGAGGCTGACTGAGCATCTACAACGTTCCTGGCAGGACTGTCTCAGTTCAACCTTGAGGCTAAGGTGAGCAGGACCTGTTCTGCTGGTTTCCTTGGCTCTAACTACTGAATTTCTTTGTGGAGTAACCCCAGCAAGCTGAAACATTCTTTCTCAAGAGAACTGTAAATAACTTTGGCTCATGCTCATACTCAAGCATTTTTAATAGCATTCTACTGCTGGGCAAAATTGAGTAATAGTGAGAATAAGTTCTCTCTTGTAGAACATGGTGGGCCAGGCACTGTGCTAAAAGCTTGACTTTACATTAGGGCATTATTATTATTGATTATATTGTACTGTTATCTACTTTACCTGCTACCTATTTGAGGTTGTCAAATAAGCCATGCACTAACAACTGCACTATTCTGCAGGGTTTTTTTTTTTCCACTTTCCTCTTAGTCTCTTTTTGTTTTTATCAACTTTTTAAAAAGATTTGTTTATTTAAAGGCAGAGATAGAGAGAAGGAAAGAAAGAGGCCTTACACCCCTTGGTTCATTCCCCTAATGGTTGCAAAAGTCTGAAACCAGGAGCCTGGCACTTCTTCTGGATCTCCCACGTGTGTGCAGGGAACCAAGGACTTAGGACATCCTTTACTGCTTACCCAGGCCATTACCAGAGAGCTGGATCAGAAGTGGAGTAGCCAGGACTCAATCCACAAGCAGAGGCTTAGTCTGCTATCTTACATAGCCAGCCCCCACTTACCTTTTATTGCAGAAATTTTCAAACATATGCAGTAGTAAAAAAGTGAAATAAAACACAGGAGCCTGTCACCTAGCTTCAGTCACTATCAATCACCACCAATTTTCACCCATCATGCCCACTGATATATTTTCCACCTCCAAGCCTGCCAAACTAGATCATTTTGGAGCAAATACCTAATGCAAAATCATTTTAGAGTACAAATTTCAAACTTATCCCTAAAGTTCATGACATTTGAGGTGGGAGTTACGGCACAGCAGGTAAAGCCGTCCCTAGGGATACCCACAACCTGTACTGGAGTGTTTGGCATCGAGTTCTGCTTTTACTTCCCATCCAGCTTCCTGCTAATATGCCTCAGAGGCAGAACTGATAGCCAAAGTACTTCAGCTCCTGCTGCCCACGTGTGAGACCTGGATGCAAATCCTGATTTCTGGCTTTGTCCCAGCCCAGTCTGGCTGTTGCTACCATCTGGAGTGTGAACCGGTGGATGAAAGATCTCTTTCTCCCCCCGCCAACCTCTCTCTCTCCCTCTCTCTCTCCCTTCTTTCCCTCTCCCTATTCCTCTCTCTGCACCCCTCCATGTTTCTCTCTCTTTCTTTGTTCTTCAAATAAATAAATAATCATTCAGAAAAATAACACATAAGGGCCCATATGTTGGCTCAACTGACTGTTCCTCCACCAAATCAACAGGGAGAAGTCAACCCTATATGAAAATGGGCAAGAGGTTTTAATCTTACTTCAAAGAAAGGAAATACAGACAATGAGCACATATAAAAATGTTAGTCATTAGGAATGAAGCAAATTAAAACCACATGTAACCACCAGAACAACTTACAGACAAAAAACTAATATCAAACACTGGCCTAACTATGGAGCAACTAGAAATCTCATAGATTGCTAGTGGAAATGCAAGATGACACAGGCTTTAGAAAGCAGTATGATGGGGTAAGCATTGTGCTTTGCAGTGGGTTAGTGTCTGCTTAGGATATGCACATCCTATATCAGGGTGCAGGTTCAAGTCCCAGCTCTATCCCTTAAAATCTAACTTCCTGCTCACGAAGGCAGTCAAAGACGGTCCAGGTCTGTGGGTCCCTGCCATGTATGTAGGAAACCCAGATGAAGCATTAAGCCTTGTCCAACTCAGCCATTGTAGGTCTCTGAGAGTGAACCAGCAGGAGGAACATGTCTGTTTTTCTGCTTTCACATACACAAATATATCTAGAAAGAAAGACTGGATGGACGAAAGGAAGAGAGTATGGCAGTACCTTATAAAATTAAATATGTAAGATCTAGTAATTGCAGTCCAAGGTACTGACCTAAGGCATATGGAACTGTCCACACAAAAGAGTGGATGGGAATTACTCCTAACATTCAAACATGTACCACTACTAATTCAAAAACTGGAAGCAACGCAGATGTCCACCGATGGCTGAACAGATTGTTTTCTGTGATCTATCCACTTACAAAACCAAGAATGGGTGAAATCTAAAAATATGAATCTGAGTTAAAGAATTCAGACATAAAAATCTATTTACTATCCGAATGATGTAGGCAAAATTCTAGGAAAGTCAATACTCCAGTGATAACATGTCAGGGAATGCTTCAGGCTGTACATGGGAAGGGAGGGGGGAGTTGGTTCTTCACAGCTATAAAAAGAGAGAGCTACACAAAATGAGATTTAATATTATCTTTTAAATGTAATTTTTTGGCACCAAACAAGCTTTCTTTATTTGATTTTTGCATAAATTATTTTGGAAGAGTCCATAGCTGTGTGCGAATGCTTATATAATGTATCTATGTGAGAAACGTACACACATTAACATACCAATATGAATTTAAACATATATGTATCATCAGTTAAGATTCATTAAGTATACATAGTTCTCATTTAAGAGAAATAGTTCAATCATCCTTCACAAATTGCTTGGCTGTTTTACTAAAGTCCTAAGGTAACGAATACTTCCAGGTGTTGCTAATCTTCGTCTAGTGGGAAATATCTGCAAAGTTGTCTTTTTAAATATAACATGCACACATTTCATTTTTCACAATATAGACTTAGGAGGGGCTCCTCCCTTCCCTCTTTCTCTCCTCCTCTCTTATCTCACCCCTCCTTTATTTTTTCCCCAAATTATTACAATGGCATATCCATTTACTTCACAGTCACAAGCTTAGCATTCCAATATACAAAGACATTGCAACATAGCAAGTAGAAGGGGAAAAAAAGAAAAAAAGGAAAATCCTACTATTACTCAGGCATGTCGACACGAGCTGTAAACAGCAGTTAAATGCCAGGATGCTAATCTGACTTATAAAAAATTACATTTTCAATGCTATATGTAAAAGACATATTCATTTTACTTTATGTAAGAGAACTAAGCAACTGAACAACATTTTTTTAAAGATTTGTTTATTTCTATCAAAAAAGCAGAGTGCCACAGAGGGAGAAACAGAGACAGAGAAAAACAGAGATCTTCCATCCTCTGGTTCATTCCCAAAATGCCTACAACAACCACAGTTAGGCCAAACCAAAGCAAAAGGCCAGGCACTCCGCCTGGGTCTCCCACCGGGATGGCAGGAACCCAGCATGTGGACCACCATCTGCTGCCTTATGGGTACAGTGCAGGAAGCTGAACTGGAGGCCCGGGAATCAAACCAGACACTCTGATAGGAGATGTAAAACACCCAATGGTGGCTTGGGGCACAATGCCGATTCCACTGCTGAATAATTTTATGAACTCACACCTTAGAAAAGTCTTAGATTCACATAATTATTACAAAATGACTAGAAATATTTCCCATGTAGTCTATACTTAACTTTCTCCTATAACTGACTTTCCCCCATAGCTTTCCCCTATAAATGACTCTTACATTAGTATAGTGTATTTTCTGTAATTCATGAATCAGTATTCATATACTATCATTAACTAAATCTTTACACATTTGCTTTGTTTTAAACTAGTGTCTTTTTTTGCTCCAGACATAAACACAGGAAATGACTTAATAGTCATTTCTCCTGAGTCATTTCTTACCTATGAAATTTCTCAGACTGCTTTTGATGAGTTGAAACATTTTGTAGTGTGTCCTGCAGTTGAGTTTCACCTGATATTTTTCACACTGTTAGTCTGTGACTGGATTTTAATGTCTTTTAGGCCCAGCTCTGCTACAATAAATTATGTCACCTGTAATGACACCAGCATCCCTGTGACTGGCAGTTGGTGTCCTGGTGCTCAACCCAATCCAGCTGACTACTGGGACACATGGGAAAGCATCAGCAAACGGCCCAAGTACTTGGGCCCTACTACTCACATGAAAGTTTCAGATGGAGTTCCAGGCTCCACGCTTTGTCCTGACCCAATGTCAGCAGCTGTGACCATTTGGGGAACAAACCAGTAGATATAATGTCTTTCTCTCTACTCTCTCTCCCTTCTCTCTCTCCCTTCTCTCTCTCTCTCTCTGTCTCTCCTTCCCTCTCTGTTTCTCTCTCCTTCCCCCCATTCCATGTTTCTCCATCAGCAATTCTGTCTTTCAAATAAATAAAATATTTAATAAAGAAAAATGTCATTTGTTTCACTTACATTCTTAAAGTTACCATACATATTATGATCATTTGAATCATTGCCCAATAACTTCCTAAAAGATAGCTATTATTTTATATTCTGTAGTAGAAAAGCTACATTAATAATAATAATAATTCAATGAACCTCAAATAAGATACATCAGAGAATCCACCGTGAGGCAGTTAATAATTTCTAAGCTTGCAGGAATCATTTTTAGTAAGGTTGACATTATTCTGTTTAAGGAACTAAATGTTTATTTCAATATATTTTCCTCTAAAGCACTAAATGATTGTCAAACAAAGATAAATTATTTTCTAAGTGGCTTTAAAAAATAAATGGTATATTTGAAATATAACATAAAACGCAATTCCTCATTACTAACTACTTTGACATTCTGATTTATGAACTCTTAGTATTTACACATTAAAAACATTCAAATTTAACAACAGAATGCAAAATTAAATAGCTTATCATTTGACGTGGAGAAAAATAAATACCCTTACTACAACTAAAGGATTAGTGGCAGGTCATTTGTCTCCAAACTAGGATGGAAAAAATCAACAGTAAAGCTCTGAATCTCTATCCAGACCTTTATAAAATGTTTTCATAAATATGTACCAGGTTATTATTTGTATTCAATCTAAAGACAAGGTCAGTGAGGAAAAATTCAACAAAAAATGAATGTGTTTAACAGCCCAGGGAAAATGCTGCCTAGATGATTTTGGTAAAGGTGAACCAACTTTTGTCTGAAGAAGAGGAAAAATAAACTGCTAGAGAAGTGGGCAAGCTGGGAACAAGAATATTTTTTAGCTACAGAAATTACTGATCATGGTATGCTACTGAAACAATAGACAAGAAAAACAAACCAACAAAACCCACTAAGACACACAACACCCCAGAATACACAGCATCCACCTGTGACACAGGACAGTTGCAAGCTGAGTCTCTGCATGTTAAAGACATCCCAAGTAAGCAGACCACAGAGCCCGTTATGGGGCTGAACAAGAATTAGGCAGGAAAAATGGAAGAACAAATGACTTCAACAAAGAGTGATGATGGCAAGGCCCTTGGGCAGCCCTACAAAACTCTTGTTAATATCAACCCAAAATCAACTTGGTGTTTTAACTGCAGTGAGAACTCGTACTATGTGCTTTATCCGCTTAAAATTTGAAGTGCACAATCTACATTTTTCAGTTTAGCAGGCAAAGAGGGGTCTTAGGGCAATGCACCTATGGATGACAGTGATCACAGTAGGAGAAGCAGGTCCAGGGCTTGAGGTCAGAAAGGTCACAGAAGGTCACATAAGAAAAGGACAACCCACACCCTAAGGCAGGGAAAACGTGGCCTTCTTAGGCAGAAAGAAAGGGCAAGGTTGAAATAAGAGTTGCCTCTGAATGAGTCAGGGTCTCCCTAGAGGAGGTAACGTACCTGTTGGGAGCTCACAGTTATAGGCTGTTTTAAAACGATCCATGTGACGCTCTCAAGAAGGGGTGGAACCGTGAGAGAACCAGGGTACGTCCAGTAGTCCCAGCATGGTGGAAGCAGAGATAATGGGTCAAAATTTGTGAATCGCATTTGTTTTCCCTGCGAGAACAATGAATTTCCATAAGTTAAAATGGAAGTTGTACACAAAGACTTCAAGAAATATTCATCCAAGGAAACAATATGCAATTATTGAATATCTTCCTTTCCTGTATTTTAAAAACATTTGCTTTAATTTGAAAAAAACTTTAGAAAAAGAAGCATATCGTGTAAATTCATTTAAATAAACTTGTCTAAATACAGTCTAATACAGTCTAAAAGGATCATTGCATAAAACCAAAATACAACTAATTATGCATAATAGATCTGTAAATGTTATCTTAGATAGCTATAAATTCCTTAATAATTTTGAAAAAATAAGTAGGAAATGGTTACTTCTGCTTTTTTGATCAAGTACAATGAAACCTTTTTTTCAAGGCAGACAAGTTCATGATAAAGCTTTAAAGAAGATAAAAGAATTCAAGAGAGAACAAAAAATGTATTTCCAGTAACTCATTCTACCTTTTCTTTAATGGAATCCAAAATGTCAGTAATCTTCTGTAGTTGAGAATTACATTCACCAATCTAAAATCACAAAATTGCAAAAGAACAATCAATAGCAGATCAAATCAGAAGCATTTTGTTCAGCTACTATTTTTAATTTTGTAAAACCATAACGCAGCATAGGATATATAGTGATTGCTGTAGAACAAAGTTTCCCTTTTTCTGTACAGCCTTATCAAGCCAGAAGAGTCTAAAAAACAGATGATATTACAGGGTTCCTGTATTAAAGTTCTGTTTGTTTCTAAAACTAGGAGCAATAGCTTCATATTTTAAGCTTTATGAAGGTTTGAAAGACAGACTACCTGGAGAGAAATATTGCTTAGGCAATTAACACAATATCTGATTTATTAAGCATTCAAACTCAACCATTCCCACTCTAACCAGTGGTCCACATGGGCATACATCCTTCTCATAAAAAAAAAAGTAAATTTAAAAATAAAAAGAATCAAGATGGCAGAATAGGGTAGGGACACATTTAAATAAAGTGAATCATTAGCCAGGGTGAAGCAGAAGAGGGCACATTCCAGGAAATAGGAGAGCACAGGCCAACAGCAGAGGGGCACCTGGAGACTGACGGACACAAAAAAGCAGTGGAGACAATGGTGCGGTGTTGCAATGACCAGATACCGCAGTGGTACTGAGCAATGGGCGATCTGAGCTCCACAGGGGGCTGGAGCTCCACCAGTGGACAGGTGGGAAGGGGAGTTCACCCGGAGGTCAGGAGGTGAGCCCAGGCAAAGAACTGCCCATACTGCTGATTTGTTTGATTTGACCAGAAGCAGACAGAGATCAGCAGATCCCAAACAGGTGGTGAGGAACAGGGTAGATTTCACAGCCCAGACCTTCACCGCAGCCTCATTGGGCACCACTTTGTATAGGGTAGCAAAGGCTGTGGGACAAGACTACAAATGCACTAAGATGGGAGAGAACTCATTTGTGGCTAAGTGCATTGCACCCATGTATTATCCTACAGGTTCCACCTAAAATAGATCTGGGTGATCCCAAGACCTAATAGCCAGAAGATCCAGAACTCCACCAGTGGCACATCAGGTGCTATTTTGTACAGTGTCAAACGCTGTGAGGCTGGAGGGACAACAGTGAGCTGTACATGTGCTGAGCTGAGAGCAAACTCACTTCCAGCTCAATGCATTGCACTTGTCCCACAGGAAAATGAATAATAACCTCGGCATCCTACAGGTCAAAATAGGTCCAGCTGGCCCTCAGACCTAATGGCCAGCAGGTTCCAGCAAGACCAACACCAGCAACAATCTAGTTATTTAGGATAACTGGTGTCTCCCTAATCCTGGGAATTGCTTGAACTAAAAATGGGAGAAAGTTTGTACAGCAATGGTGCAGCCACAGCATGTGATCACAGGAGGTGGAGAATGGGAAGACAGGAGCTGGGGCTATGGAGACCACCACAGAAGTCTAAAACAAGAGCCCAAACCTGAAACTTACTGGAGAGAGCAGCACAAGTGACTACAAACAAGGAACAGGGTACCAAATGCAGGAGTAAAATCAAACTATGTACCATGAGTGACACAGCTAGGATACGTGCCCTAAGGAGAAGGATCTGCTAGCCAGAAGTACAATGACCAAGAGCAAAAGAAAGAGGAACAATGAATATTACTGAAGACTCCCCTGAAAAGGAGCAAAAGACTTTGCCGATCTCAGAGTAAACTGAGGAATACATTGAGAAAACGGAGGATACAGAATCCAGAAAACTTCTTATCAACAATGAGAAGCACATACAGGAGTTCGAGGAATTCAAGGACTATGTCACACAGGAAATAGCAACACTGAAACAAAATCAAGGCAAATTTTTGGAAATGAAGGACAGTATAGCAAATTAAAAATTCAGTTGAAAGTCTCAGTAATAGAATGAAGGAAGCAGAAGAAAACTTCTCAAAATTGGAAGATATTTCTTGTCACAATAGGGAAACAATCAAAAAGCAGAGCTGGGTCAAGTTAAACAAAGTATTCAAAAATTAAGAGACATTATTAAAATGCCAAATTTAAGAGTTACAGGAATTCCAGAATGCACAGAAAGGAAGCTGGGTTTAAAAATGTACTCAGTAGGGCCCGGCGCGATGGTGCAGTGGTTAAGGTCCTCGCCTTGCACACCCAGGATCCCATACGGGTGCCGGTTCTAATCCCAGCAGTCCTGCTTCCCATCCAGCTCCCTGCCTGTGGCCTGGGCCCAAAGCTTTGGGACCCTGCACCTGCACGGGAGACCCGGAAGAGGCTCCTGGCTTTGGATCGGCATAGCATCGGCCGTTGTGGCTCACTTGGGGAGTGAATCATTGGACGGAAGATCTTCTCTGCCTTCCTCTCTGTATATCTGCCTTTGCAATTAAAAAATAAAATAAATCTTTTTTAAAAAGTGTACCCAGTGAAATAATAAAGGAAAACTTCCCTAATTTGGAGAAAGAATTGTGAAACAACATCCAGGAGGGGCACAGAACTCCAACAGGGTTGACCAAAAGTGATCTTCACCACAATACATAATAATCAAGTTCTCTTCAATCAAACTTAAGGAAAAGTTCCTCAAATACGCATGCGAAAAAAAATTGATTGCCATTTAGAAGAATGGCAATCAGACTCACAGCTGACCTCTCAGAAGAGAATGGAGTGACATATTCCAGATCCTAAAAGGAAAAAAATTGTCGGCCCAGAATAATGTACCCAGAAAAGTTCTCCTTTGTCTTTGAAAATGAAATAAAATTCTTCCACAGTAAAAAAAGGGGGGGAGGGGAGAGCTCAATGAATATGCCTCTTCCAGACCTGCCCTACAAAGGATACTTAAAGATGTTATCTATCAGAGAAGAGGAATAGCACCCACCAATACCAAAGGCAAATGTGAAGAACATCCAAGGAAATAAAAACAGATTAAATCAAATGATGAACAACCCATTGCTAAAATAACAGGACCAAATTACTATCCATTCATATTAACGCTGAATGAAATGGCTTAAACGCATCAATCAAACACTGTAGATAAGTAGAGTGAATTAAAAATAAAACCCATCTATCTGTTGCCTACATGACACAGATCTCACCAATAAAGATCAGCAGAAACTATATCTCATGGATTTTGCTGTTTTTTGTTTCTTCAAAATGTTTTTTTTTTCATATTAAATTCTTCACTGACTCATAGGTCATACAGTAGTGTTATTTTCTTCAAGAAAGTCTTTGATTTTCCTTTTCATTTCTTCAATGACACATTAGTCATTCAGTATCATGATATTGAGCTGCATGGCATTGTAAATTTCTATTTTTCTTCCTGTTGTTGACTTTGTATTGTGGCTTTTCATTTAAGGGGATGCACAGTAACTGTGTAATGGAGATTATCAAATTCAGATGTGAGGATACAATGCAGTATGCATCTCTACTTCCAGATCAAAGATGGACTTCCAATGAAACTGTCAACTATATCTTGAGAATAGGATGCAGGACTCTCTGCTATTGTCCATGTCCACAATGATGGACAAATGACTGTTTATGAAGAACCACACTACTATATAACATAGGGGAAATCAGTGGTGGGGAAGGGAGTTTGAGGAGGCGGTAAGTAAAATCCCAGTGCCTATGGAAATGTATAATAAAATAACAATAATAATAATAAAAGGACAAATTAAAAAGTATTCAGACTGCAGACACAAAATTACTTTGGTGGCATCAAAATATGAGATGAAGACATCAAGTGCAACCTAAATCAATTTCAGATCCCAAATTAAAGTGATGCATCTATCATTAGGACCAATCTCTCCCCAGCCCCCATACCTCTTTTGGTCATTAGGAGTGTCCTGATTTGAAACTACCAGGTTTCACCTCCTTCTGGATTACAATATGATTTTGTTCTGTTTTTTGCCTCACTGGTTTTTGCTGCTGCATCCAAATCAGCAAACTGCTGCTGTCCATAGGACTCCTGCCTCCACCCGCTGCTCCCCCAGTTACAACCCCAAGAGTTACATCACACACAGAGTATGCAGTGTGGCAAATGTGCACGCCCTGCAAGAATGCCATCACAGCAGGAGTTGAGAGGCCCAGCCCATCCCAGGTGGTGGTGAAAACAATAGCTGTCTGTCCACATGGGAATATTAGACAAAGAGATAGGCAACACCAGTGTTTTTAAAGTGGGTTGTGACAACATGCCACTGTGGACAAACAAGTGCTTCAAGAAACCAGAGCTTGAACTTTAATCTGTCTTGTGTGTCTAAATATTATGTAATCAGTAGGAGCCTAGAAGAAACTTTCTTCTCAGGACATCAGCTGTTACAGTTCCTATTATTCTTACTACTGAAGCTGCTGCTGCTGCTACAAATCCCACAAATAATGGACAAACAGAAGAACCATCAAGTAATCCTGCTAAACCAGGACTTTGAATTATTTATTAAATATTAAAATCAAAGGGGAGGGCCCGGTGCAGTGGCGCAAGCGGTTAAATCCTCGCCTTGCACGCCCGGGATCCCATATGGGCACCAGTTCTATCCCGGCAGCCCCGTGTCCCTTCCAGCTCCCTGCCTGTGGCCTGGGAAAGCAGTCGAGGACAGCCCAAAGCTTTGGGACTCTGCACCTGCACGGGAGACCCAGAAGAGGCTCCTGGCTTTGGATTGGCATAGCATCGACCATTGCGCTCACTTGGGGAGTGAATCATCAGATGGAAGATCTTCCTCTCTGTCTCTCCTCTCTGTATCTCCGCCTTTCCAATAAAAAAATAATTAAAAAAAAATAAACCTAAAAAATCAAAGGGGAAATGCTAAGCCTAGGACTTGTTTACTATTTTAAAAGTATTACTATTTTAAGATACTATTAGAAAGTAGGCACTTGGTGTGGTAGTTAAAACATCAACTGATCCACTCACATTCTGCATCTAAGAGGTTAGGTTTTAGTTCTGGTTCCAGTTCTGATTCCAGTCTCCTTTTGATGTGTTTATCTTGGGATGCAGCAGGTGATGGCTTAGGTACTGGGATTCCTGTCACCCCAAAATTCAGTTCCTGCCTCCTTAATTTCTACCTGGTCCGGCCCAAGCAGTTGAAGACATTGGGAAATGGACAACTAGATGAGAGCTAGATCCAGAGTGGGTTGCTGTTCTCTCTCTCTTCCCTCCCCTATCCCTTAAATAACCTTAAACGGGGGCATAATGTTCACTCTATGACTCAAACTCTTCATCCCACATGGCTCACAATTTCAAAATAAATCAATGGAGTCTCACCTTTAGAAACACTCCCAAGACAGCGAGTCCATCCGGCTCATGAGCTGCTTCCACGAAGCTGGGATATTTGTCGGAATTCCAGTGGACTACGTGGAGCTGAAAGAGAAGGAAACACATTATTAAAGACCTTTTTAAAACATCCTGAAAAACCTAAGTGCAAATATAGCATTCATTTGGATGTTCTGATGCTGTATATTCATCTGTGCAATGTGCTCTTCACAAGAACCACAGAATCGTCCTCTATACTTTTTCTAGAAACCAAAAATCAAGCATCGAAGAATTACAACCACTTAACAGGTCTGTGTATCACCATTCAGAACACCCCAAGCACTCTGCTCATCTGTTTAGCCCCAACAAACTCTAACCACTGTTCCTGAGTGACTGCAGTGGGGCAGCCTCAAATCATATCACAGCTGGCAGTGGAGTCCACCAGGTGAAGCCAGGCTCATTGCTGAGTGCCGAATCTCCCACACAGTAGGTGTTCAGGGACCAATGCCTTTTAGCACTAAAAACAATACAGTTGTTCCTGGAAGTGCCAAATTTGACCACACCATAGCTTAAGATCTTTTATAATAGGAAAATATGGCTGACTATATTAAGTAATAATCATACTCTTCATTAAGATTTTTAATTGGCAAATCATAGTTCTATGCATTTGTGTAACACAAAGTATTGCTTTGATATAGATTTGGCATATATAATGATTAAATCGAAATGATTAAAATGTCTCTCACCTAACTTTTATAAATTTATTATATTTGTAAATACCTTTCTGAATATGTTCACATCTTTTACTGAGAACAGTATGAATAGAAAAAAAATGCTAAAAAAAATGCTTTTAGGGCTAGGAACCATATATGATTGAGAAAGGAAGTGAGAGCAAGTTAGCACTACTGAGGAGGGGAGAAAACAGGTGACAGAGAAGGAAGCAACTCCAGAAAACAGACTTCACCACCTTACAACTCTACTTACACAACTGTTCTTAGGCAAAACACAACTGTCCTAAATATTCTGGGTTTGTCAAACATAGCAGAAAAAGGATAAATCAGAAGATCACTTTTGTAGAGTCCTAAGTTCTTAGAAGAAAGACAAATTCAACAGCCAAAGGGCAATGTGACCACCCAAAAGATCTGTCCAAATCATAAGTCACAAAAACTGGCCATGGTGTCCACACATTTGATAGGAAATATTAATTCTGCTGTAGATTGACAAGATCTGGCTCCCTAACTCATGCAGAGTTAAATTCCAGTGTCACGGATTGCTGGTACTTATTGGGTCCTGGCTTGATCCAATTATGGGAATCTGAATTTGGAGCCTTTAGAAATCTTTTGGGGCAAAGCATTATGGTGCATCAGGTTAAGCCACCACTTGGGATGCGCACATCCCACATCAGGCTAGCAGTCTGGGTCCAAGCTACTGCACTCCAATCCAGTTCCCTGCCTATACTCCTGCTAGGCAGCAGACAATGCCTCAAGTACGTGTTCCCATCATCCTCTCACAGACATGCAGAAAGTGCCTGGCCAGGCTGCTAGCTTCCGCTTGTCCCAGACCCCGCTATTAAGGTGCCTGAAGAGTGAAACAGTGAGCAAAAGATACCACTCTGTGTGTGTGTGTGTGTGTGTGTGTGTGTGTCTCCCCATTCTCTGTGTCACTTTGCCTTACAAATAAATAAATAAACTTTAAAAAAAGAAAGTGGGTTAGACTGGAAAGTTAATCTGGGGCTCCTTTGATCCCATCTTGGTGTCTTTACACGGAACCATGACACAGACATGAACTATGTTGCTCCTGGTTCACCATGTGATTCTCCCTCCACATTGCTCCACTGTGGTAGAGTGGGTGAAGCTGTCACCTGCTGCTCCAGCATCCCATATGGATGACAGCAGATGGAAGATCTCTCCATTTCTCTTCTCTCCTTCTATCCTCCCAATAGAGAAAGAGAGAGAGAGAGAGAAAGAAAGAAAGAAAGAAAGAAAGAAAGAAAGAAAGAAAGAAAGAAAGAAAGAAAGAAAGAAAAGAAAGAAAGAAAACAAAGACAAGACAAGATAAGACAAGACAGACCAGACCTTTCTGGGCCTGGCACAGCAGCCTATTGGCTAAAGTCCTTGCCTTGAACATGCCAGGATCCCTTATGGACACCCATTCTAATCCCAGCTGCACTGCTTCCCATTCAGCTCCCTGCTTGAGGCCTGGGAAAGCAGAGGAGGACAGCACAAAGCGTTGGGACCCTGCACCCACATGTGAAAAACCTGGAACAAGCTCCTGGCTCAACTTCAGCCATTGCGGCCGCTTGGGGAGTGAATCAGGGGATTGAAGATCTTTCTCTCTGTCTCTCCTCCTCTCTGTATATCTGATTTTCCAATAAAAATAAATAAATCTTTAAAACAAAAAAAGAGAAAAAAAACCTTTCCCTTCATAAATAGCTTCTCCCAGATATTTTATTAATAATAGTGACAGTCTAACAAATACCATCTTCATACTGGACACTGGCTGAGAACAGGCCTGGCTGGGGAGCTAAGGCAAAACCCTAGCTGGGAGGAGGTATCCACTAAGGAGCACATGGGCTAGAATGGGGCTGCATTCTGATTGGGTTACAGTTGTAGTCTTCCTTGGCACAAGTGTGGACTGGGACTAGATGCACCAAGCCGGGTCAGACTGCAACACCTTCTGGTGTTCTGGAGGACAAGGGTAGATGTGGGACGGACTAGGCTAGGTCTCAACCCCAATGAGCCATGTATGAGCTGTATGTGGGTATGGACTTGCCGTGGCTGGGCTGAAACATCCAACAGCAAGAACCAGAATGGGTTGAAGGTCAGTTAAGAAAAGCCCTGCTCCTGCTAGGATAGGAGGTGAATTGAGTAGTGCTGGCCCATGGACCCACTGGTATGCACAAAACCTGGCACCAGGAGGGGTTCTGATAGGGGTTCTGATGGAGGAGCCTAAGTAACTCCTCTGACAGGATACAGACCCTACAAATAAGCGCAAGAAACATGGAAGAAAACAGCCCAGAAGAGGTCATGGAAAGCGTCCCACTGGCATACATTTGGCATGGGGAGGGGGCAGACCAGGCTGAATCAGTTCACGTCATCCTCTGGCAAATCCGAACACCGGAACAGAGTGTGGGTCGAGCCAGGTTGAGTCGTGACGAAAGCAGTACACAACACAGAATGCCAAGGTGAGGTTGCCTGTGCCAGATGTGACCGCAGCACCCAATCAGCACACGTGAGAATCAGGAAGGGAGGGGCAGAGCGGGCAGGGCAATAAGGGGTGGTTCCCTTGCTGGACAGATACTCCCACTGGAGAGCGTGAGCCGGGATGGGGACAGACCACACTAGACAGGGTTACAGCACCTATGTGCCTCATGTATACTAGATCAGGGAAAAGCCCGAAGGGCAGATTATTGCTACGGGTGCAAACATAATTACAGTGGGTGAGGGTTGTAGGGGCTTAGCCACAACAGAAGCTGGCACTGGGGGGCTGATACTGTAAAGTCTAACCACAAAACCACATGGAGAGTGCACAGTCTGGGAGTGAGAGAGACCTGGGAAGGAAATAGTGGGCTCCTCCCTCCTGGGTTACCACTCCCATGGGAAGGAAAAAAAACTAGGACAGGGACTGGGGTGGCTGGACGGAGAGGCACTCAGCAGCATCCATGAGGGCTGGACACTTGATGGAACTAAGCTTCAATGCCCTTTGACACATATGAGAGTCAAATGGGATATGGGCAGACTGCTACACATACTGGCAGACCAGGGTACGAGGCGGGCCTGGTGGTGGTTAATGGGGGTCGCTCTGACTGGGCTGCAGCTCCCACTGGTTTGTGTGAGGACTGAGTGTGTGCTGGGCGGAACCGGGCTGGACCGCAACACCCATTGGTTCCAGTGGAAGTCAGGGCTGTAAACAAAGCCAGCCCAGCAATGGCAACCACCAGCTGGACAGAACAGGACAATCCACCACTTCAGCTATATGTTGGCAGAGAAATGCTGGACAGATGCACACTCTATGATGGACTGTGTCAATCAGTGGACTCTTCGGCAACCTCATCATGCCTGGAGTGGCAAGAATGGCAGCAATTCATAACTGGTGAACTATCAAGGTCACTTGAGCAAGGATCTCAGATCATGCCCCACATCGGGGTCCTGGGATGGGTGGGAGACTGGGTGGGGCTTCTCCCTCAATATTCCCTTTATCTTAGATAAATGAATAAAATCTAAAAAAAAAATACCATCTTCTAATAAACCCTTTTGGCACATAAGGCACAGTTACACGGATCTTCATGCCCGAACTATCTTTGTTGCTGTCATGATGGATTTTACTATCTTTAGAAATGTTTTCTTATTTCATATTTTAAGTATAGCTCTATGTCTCCTAAGCAATCAATATGCGGGCATTCCTGCTTGGATTAGAATTATTATGAAGTCAACAATAAAGCACCCACAGGGCCCGGCGCGGTGGCGCAAGTGGTTAAAGGTCCTCGCCTAGCACGCCCGGGATCCCATATGGGCGCCGGTTCTAATCCCAGCAGCCCCGCTTCCCTTCCAGCTCCCTGCCTGTGGCCTGGGAAAGCAGTCGAGGACAGCCCAAAGCTTTGGGACCCTGCACCCGCGTGGGAGACCCGGAAGAGGCTCCTGGCTTCGGATCGGCATAGTATCGGTCCGTTGCGCTCACTTGGGGAGTGAATCATCGGATGGAAGATCTTCCTCTCTGTCTCTCCTCTCTGTATATCCGCCTTTCCAATGAAAAAATAATAAAAATAAATCTTAAAAAAAAAAAAAAGCACCCACAAACACTCAGGGTAAACTGTGAGATATTCCGACAGAAAACACAAAAGGTGATTCCTATCATACCATGTTCCAAATTGGTGTGAGATAGCTGGGGGAGGAAGGAAACCTGAATACATTTAGATGATGAAATAAAATTCACCTGCTCCCAGCAGACAAATGATATGCCACTGTCAGGGAGGAGCTGAATGTTAAAAGTTGTTTTAGGCTCTGTGCCAACACAGCAATTCACTATTAAAAAATGACACTGATGAGGTAGAAAGATGCATAGTGACTTCTTCAGAAAATGAATCTGCAACTAATGAGAGATATATATCTCCTATAGATAATCATTTTTTTTTTTTTGCTGGTTAAACAGCAACAACGATTTGAAATATGATGGGAAACTAGATCAAGAAAATCACCCTTTTTTTGGTTTGTTTTTATGAGTTCTCTCTCTTATATTCTTTGCTTGACTGGCAGCAATATTCTCATGGAACTGATACTATTTCACCTTTATTAACATTTGTATACAAAATTCAAAGAAATAAATAACAAACTCACATTTCCTAACATTTACAGTAGAAGTGATTTGTATGGCAGATTTTTGCAGCCAACGCAAAAGAGGGGAAAGGCGGTAGGCGTTGTGGAGTAACGTGTACAGCCACTGCCTGCCATGACAGCTTCCACTGGGCCACTGGTCTGATTCCTGGCTGTCCTACTTCTGATCCGGTTCCCTGCTAGTGAGCCTGCAAAAGCAGTAGCAGATGGCTCAGGTATTCAGGTGTCTGCACCCATGTGGGAGACCCAGAAGAAATTCCTGGCTTCGGCCTGGCCGTTGTGGACTTTTAGGGAATAAAGCAGCAAATGGAAGCTCTTTTGTATACCTCTTCCCCTCTCCCTCTGTAATGCTTATTTTCAAATAAATGAGGATAAATCTTTTTTAACAAATAGAAATAAAGGGCCCAGCATGGTAGCCTGGTGGCTAAAGTCCTCACCTTACATGTGTCAATATTCCATATGGGTACCAGTTCTAATTCCAGAGGTCCTGCTTCCTATCCAGCTCCCTGCTTGTACCTTGGGAAAGCAATCAAGGGCAGCCCAAGGCTTTGGGACCAAGCACCTGCGTGGGAGACCCAGAAGAATCTCTGGGCTCCTAGCTTCGAACCAACTCAGCTCTGGCCATTGCAGTGACTTAAGGAGTGAATCAGAAGATGGAAGATCTTCCTCTCTGTCTCTCTTCCTCTCTGTGTATCTGACTTTCCAATAAAAATAAATAAATCTTTGGAAAAAATGTAAAGAAAATAGAAGTAAGATTTTCCCTATTGAATAACAATTTCTAAATAAATTATTCAACTTTTGTGGTTTTAAATGATATATTAGTGATTCTTCCAAATGCTATACCAAAATTCTACCATGAAAGTTGAAATCAAAATTTCACAATTAACTACATAGTTAATATACTTATGATGTTTTTTATAAAAGCTGTCTTCGATAATGTTCCAAATATTACATGGACTGTTAGTCTAGTTTTTCTAGATGCATAACTCCTAAGACAAAATTTTTCATGATTTAAATTACTTTATTCTCTCTTTATATGTATCTCTGTGAGTGTGTGTGTAGAGGTATGTGACAAATAGATACATACACATGGCAAATTGTTAGGTCAATTGCAGCTTTAGATGGTTTTTCTTCATTTCTTTCTTATTTTCATTTTATAAGAGGGCATAGCTTGATAGCATTAATGAGCATGGGCAGAAAAGTGTCTAGAAAAACTAATTAACACCTTGGAATCCTTCCTAAGGCTGAGTACAAAGGATTCTTTGGTAGTTGGAACCAAATGTCACCATTTTCAGCACCAATCTCTCCTTTAAACCCAAGACTGTATCCAAGGACCTATTTGAACACGAGCCTAGATGACCTAATAAGCATTTGAAGCCAAACATACTCGAAACAGAACATTGTTTGCTCCCCACCTTGCGCTTCTCCTCCAGCATGCCCACAGCAATAAACGGCACAACCCCTCCAGCTCACTCAAGTCAAAATCTCAGGATGTTCCTAGCTTTCTTTTTCCTTCCTCCATTCCAAAATCCTTTTCTTCTTTATAAGCCATTGACATTATCTGCTAAACATATGAGGTATCTGCCCAGCTCACTTCATTTCCATCTTCCCCTGTAGTTCCATTATCATCATTACATGTTTATACTCCTTCTATTACTGCATATTTTCTCTTTTGTTCCACTATTTGTCTAGAAAAAGCCTCTTCTTCATACAGTAGTCAGTTATAGTTTATAAAACATAAAACCTGATGCACTCCTGCTGAAAACTTCCATTGTCTTCCTAGCTCTCCATTCAAAATTAATCTCAGACTTCACTCGGTGCCCCAAAAAACTACCAATGCAGCATGGTCTCTGCTTGCCTCTCTGGGACAGAACTCAAAACTTTCCCATTAATTCCAATCTCACAAAGACAACACCATTCCTTTCTTGGGCATGCCAATCTCCTTCCTGCCTTAGAGCATTTTTTCTTACATCCTGGGAAACTCTAGCAACTTTCATAGTGCCTGGTTGTCATTAAATTTCAATTCACCTATCTCTTGAATGATCTTTTACTAACACCTCACTCACCCTGCAAAAGTATTTCAACAAAGAGCTCAACACATAGCATTACTTATATATTGTCTATGTCCAGCACTATGCCAGCCTGAGTTGCCTATCTCAAATCACTAACTTCTTTCCCTCATTCTTAATCCCAATTTTATTCTTCAAGCTCTAATCGCACAGATCATTCTGATCTTCAACTATGTGATGCCCTTTCCTGCCCTCAATCCTCAATTTTGGTTTTATACAAAACTGCATAAATTTCTCCCCTTTGCCTGACTACACTTTTTATACTTCAGATTTGAGATTAAAAGTCTCTTCCACAGAAAGACAATCTCCAACCCAGAGCCTTGGTTGGGTTACATAGTTCCAAAGACTTGGGCCACCCTAACATTTCTGTGCACTTCCATTAGCACAGCATGAGCAAGCTGTGCCAAGATTTGGGACACAGCTGGTTCTCAGTGAATTCTTACAGAGTGAATGAATGAACATACAAATCAGTGAAGCAAGAAACAGTCTTACATACCTATGCAGAAACACTGCCAAATTCCAGTTCAGTTTTTATTTGCAGTTTTACATGCAAAGGCAGCCCTGGATCTGCAAGTCAGGACTTTGAGCCTCATATAAATTTCAATACATGAGGTTCCTTTTCAGGAAACAACTTGCAAACTGGTAGTGACTGAGTTGGCAAAATTGATATTTTGGATGACAGTCTCATGGGGCAACCAGTACAATTGAAAGGAAGAATAAAATTGGAAACGAGTTCTGTTTACTGGATTTCTCTAAAAGCAGGTCTATACAGGATCTAAATCCATAGCTGAGCAACTAAGAGAAAACAAAACAAAACAACAAAAAAACCATATTTACCTGGAAGCATTGCTGTGTCTTGCCTAGACAACTTACAGCCAAATTACTTTGACTTGAATAGAACTGGCTAAGTCATACAAAAACTCACTTTTATCTTGTGATGACGTTGGGTATTAACAATATTTAATCGTATTAAAACTTGAAACATATTACAGTTTGTTCTGTAGCCACAGGATTAGGGAAAGCACAGCATTATTAGTGAAAAAGTAATCCCAATGAAAAACAAGGAATGAATGCTGCATGCGTTATGCTTTTGCCAATGACTTGAAAACTAACAAAGATCCATTTTATATCTGCAAAAGTAGAAAAAATGAAGAATTTAGCAGAGTTTAAGACTTTGTATTTTTTTCTTAAGTGGAATTTTGCCTTTTATTATTATCAACTTAATATGGGCTTTATATACTAGTGTATACTTGTACATGACCAAATATGTACACTGCCAGACCTAAAGTACAAATACTAAGATTTTTCGAAAGATTTGTGTAAGAATGGGATTAGAAGATAAACGTATTTTGGCACAAAAATTTAAATTCATGCATATTGTTTTCATAATACATATTTTCCATTAAACTTCTGAAGACTCTCATGTATCTTCCTCTCCCTTCTCATCTTTCTTTTTTTTTATTTATTTTATTATTTTTTTATTGGAAAGGCGGATATACAGAGAGGAGAGACAAAGAGGAAGATCTTCTGTCCACTGATTCACTCCCCAAGTGAGCGCAACGGGCCGATACTATGCCGATCCGAAGCCAGGAGCCTCTTCCGGGTCTCCCACGCGGGTGCAGGGTCCCAAAGCTTTGGGCCATCCTCGACTGCTTTCCCAGGCCACAGGCAGGGAGCTGGAAGGGAAGCAGGGCTGCTGGGATAGATCCAGCGCCCATATGGGATCCCTGGCGTGCAAGGCGAGGACCTTAACCACTTGCGCCACTGCGCTGGGCCCCCTCATCTGTCTTTCAGCAGACACAACAGATATGATAGAAAGACTTGGTCATCTGATTTGAGATAGAACCAAATTTAGACCTATCTCAATGTTTCTAGCTGGGTAAGTTATCTAATCTCTTTAGTCTCCTATTTATTGATTTCTTTTTTTGTTTGTTTGCTTCTTGTTGTTGTTTCACTTGGAAAGGCAGGTTTTCAGAGAGAAGGAGAGACAGGATGACCTTCCATCTGCTTGTTCACTCTCCAAATGGCTGCAATGGCCTGAGCCGTCTGAAGCCAGAGGCCAGGAGCCAGGAGCTTTTTCCAGGTCTCCCCCATGGATACAGGAGCCGTCCTCTACTGCTCTCCCAGGCCATAAACTGGAACCTTGATGGGAAGTGGAGCAGTTGGGACACAAACCAGCACCCATATGGGATTCCAGCACATGCAAGACAAAGATTTAGCCACTGAGCCATTGCACTGGGCTCCTAATTTACTGATTTCTTGAATGGGAACACACAACCTAAACTCCAACGTTAGCTTATGGCTCAGAAGGGTCCCATTTGAAGCTTCTCACATTGAATGAATAAAGCACTGGTAGACACTGAATTACTCCGATAGTTCAGGATCTGTTTGGGCTCCAGAGCTGTTTCCCATCCCCCTAAGATCCCACTCTGTAGAATGAGTCTGATGACTTACCTCCGCTGCATATCTCACTCCATCCACCACGTGCTCAGAGCCATGGTCATCAGCAGAACCCCAGTGCAGGTGAAACTGCCGTAACCTGTAGTTTCCACGGAGAGGACCCCCACGCAGAACTAGACAGGAACACATTTTAAATTATTAGCAAGAGTTTACATTAGCACATTTACATGTGCTGCCATAACATACATCACCCCGGATATCCTCTAAGAAGGTTTTTTTTACCTACGTGTTCTTTAGTTTGCTAGCAGGAATAGAACTTTTTTTTTTTTAGATTTATTTATTTATTGGAAAGTCAGATATACAGAGAGGAGAGACAGAGAGAAAGATCTTCCGCCCACTGATTCACTCCCCAGGTGAGCGCCAGGAACTTCCTCCAGCTTTCACATGTGGGTGCAGAGTCCCAAGGCTTTGGGCCGTAAGCGACTGCTTTCCCAGGCCACAAGCAGGGAGCTGGAAGGGAAATGGAGCTGCCGGGATTAGAACCAGTGCCCATATGGCATCCTGGCGCATTCAAGGCGAGGACTTTAGCCATTAGGCCACGCCACCGGGCCCCAGGAATAGAACTTTTAAGTGAGTATAGGACAACAGTAGACAAGACATTTTAGAAAGTTATAAAGCTCACAATGCAAACTTTTGTGAGACACTGGAAAACCACAGATCTATGTTAGTTTCTGAGGGTGATTGACTTATAAAGAAAAGACGTTTATTTTGCTTGCAATCCTGGAGATACAAAAGCATGGCCCTGGAATCTGCTCAGCTTCTGCTGAGGGGCTCTTGCTGAGATACAACATGATGAAAGGGAAGGGGAAGCCAGCATACGCGAGGAGAAGCAGATGTGTGTGCGAGGAAGAAAATGAGCAAGGAAGCCAGAACTAGCCTGTTCTCCAGGTAACCAACCCACTGTCACAGAAACTGCAGCAATCTCCCTGCGTGTGTAGCTTCCATAATCCAATTCCTTCTGACAGGCCCTAGCACCTTTCACCTACAATTTAGCTTGAGTTTTTGCAGGGACAAACCACATCCAAACTGGAGCAGACACCCAATCAGATAGGAGAACAAGAATTCTAAAAGGCAAGGACCTGCTCTGTTTAAGGACAAGCCAATCTCTATGAATAAGAATATCATATGCAAAAACATATCATATGCAAAGAATTCTAAAAGACAATGACTTGCTCTGTTTAATGATAAACCAATCTCTTTGAGTAAGAATATCATATGCAAAGACATATCATATGCAAAGATATCATATGCAAAGAGTTGGGTGGAACAGGGCAGCATCATAGTTAGGGCATGGGTTTCAGCAGCTAGAACAGCTCGGCTCTCACCCTCTTTTATTGAATGTGTGATCTGGCACAAACACTAACTCATCTGTCTTCATCTCTAAAAGTTGGGGATATTCATGGGACCTCCCCCTACTGTCAAAAATAGAACAAAAATTAAATGTAATGAACATATCTATTGCCTGCATAGGGCATAATACATGTTACCCACTATTATCATCTTGATCTTATTATTACTAAAAAAATTATAAATCAACCTCATCTCCTATACTGGAATTATATATTCTTGAAGAAATAGCAAAACAGGAAAATCACATCAAATCTTTTTTTTAAAATTTGTCATAGTTCTGTTCCTTTGGCAAAGCACATTTTTATTATTGCTCCACAATAAATATGATGTCTGAAACTATGACAACAGGATCCTATCTAAGTATACAGAAAGTTTCTTAATGGAAAACTTGGTCTCAAATGTCTCCTGATTAATCTTTACTGAGCACCCTGAAAAGATCTTGGAGAATAAGGAATCACTGAGTGATGAACACTCCTCAAGCATTACTAAACATTTATCGATATCCAGATGAAGTTGTTACTGGGGTAGAATCTTGACAACAGTTTGGCTTAAAATGTTCTCCTCTTTAGGCATATCACGTAAATATTATCTTAAAAATGGTCAAGAAGAAACTGTCCTCTACGTGAAGCAAATGACATTAAGAATGATTATATGCAGTTTTCTACATACAAAAACACAGAATTGTGCAAAATCACACCAGGAAGCTGGACTGAGCCAGGCTGCACAATGTGAGAGTTGATGTTGAGGTGACATGATCCATGCCAGCCTGGGGTCAGGGGGTATCAGCTTCATGAGCTCCAGGAGAGAGGGATCCAGCAGGGCTCAGGTTGTCTGGCCCGTGACCTGGGGCCTGCCTGCAGTGTGGATGCTGGGTTCCTAAACCCTGGTATTGGGGAATTTACAGGGCTCTTGTCACCTGGCCCGAATACTGGGGCCTGCCTGCATAGTGGGTGCCATGTTTGTGAACCCTGGGGACAGGGGCACCCGGCAGGGCTTGGGCTGCCTGTCCTTTGTCCTTGGGCCTGGCTACAAGTGAAAATGGCAGAATAGTGGACGCAGAACCTAATGCACATAGAGAATATGGAAGCCCACTGATATCACAGCAGAGGAAGGAAAACAGAACAAATTGGACAACTATCCCAGCAAACTATGACAGCAAAAATCTGGGTGAGTGGAGACCTAAGGTCCACTATGGCAGCCAATGGACACTGGGAGGGTTGCCTCACCCTTGCATCGCTGAAATAAACAGTATTTCATAAGTAAAAGTACTTGATCAGAACCCTCAGAACATGCACTACTTCGGGACCGTGGGTTGATATCAAATGGTGGTTCCCCATCCCTTGACACTGGGACATTTAGGAGGTTGGATGTGGCTTCCTCCTTTATTTCTCCCCTTCCCCCAGAGACAGGAAAAACTAGAGAATTTGGGAACAATGATTTCACCCACTTTTCCCTTGCTCTCGATCCTTCTCACCCTGGTCAACCACGTAATCATCATCAAACAGAAAAAGAAAAAGAAATTTGTAAGCATATATGGTAAAACTTCTTTGGAAAACTGGGTTTCCTTTAAACTGATTTGAGTCTAGATTTCTTTACCATAAACCATTATTTTCAAAGAGTTTGAAAAACAAAATGGAAGAGAGACCAGTAAGTCAAGCTTTAGGACATCCTCTTCTTTCACTTCATTAAAAATAGTAATAAAAAATGTATTGTTTCATTTCCTATACCATCTCCTAGTACAGTGACTACAACAGAAAATATGCATAATTTATATTTCATGTACAAATGGATAAATATTTTATCTGCCTTTAAGCAGTTTCAAGATTATTCACATACAAGTTTACTTAAAAGTCATTTTTCCCTAAGTGATACTGTACTCACTACATAATGTAACTAGTCTGGAGAGGTGATGATGAAATGCCATTCCGAAGGAAGAGACAACAACAGCTTTATTGTCCTTTTATCCCCATGCGTTGCATAATAAAACTTGATCTGGCCCACAAAGTCATTCCTTCACAGATTAAAAGCAGATTAGAAAGCCTGAATAACCAAGGTGGGATTGACTTTGGGAGAAGGTGCAAACACATTGGCTCTGGAGAAAGCAAAGTGATACAGAGAAGCACACATTGCTAAGGGAAACATCCCAGAATGATGCTAATCTCTGGAAAGCCTGCTCCGAGCCCAGGGTTTAAAGCTGATTCCCACAGCTTTGCCTAGCAAAGCCATGAAGATTGCCTGAATCTTCGAGTATCTGGGCTCCACGGTTGCAACCTAACTCTCCAAACTGGGCTTATCATCATCATCTAATTGTAAAGATCGTTCTCTTGAAGCAACGCTCCTCTGAAAACATACAGAGAAAGGAAAAAGTGAGTCAAAATATTAAGATTTGCTTAAACCTGACTGAGGCAATCTATAACAAGATGTCTAAATATGATACAAAATGAAGAATGACAGAAAAATATCCTTAATGATTCTATTTGAAAGTGTCAATTTATTTATCACACCTTCCAATCTAGGTAAGTACCACTGTCCTCATCTATTTAGTGGGGAGGATTTATTTATTTTGATTGGAAAGGCAGTTGAACAAAATAGGAGAGCCTGAAAAATCCTCCTCGTCGATGGTTCACTCCACAAGTGGCTGCAACAGCCAGAGCTGGGCCAATCCAAAGCCAAGAGCCAGGAGTTTCTTCTGGGTCTCCCATGCGGGTACAGGGTCCCAAGGTTCTGGCGATCCTCCACTGCTTTCCTAGGCCACAAGCAGGGAGCTGGATGGGAAGTGGAGCAATCAGGGTTGGAACCAGCACCCACATGGGATCCCAGCAGATGTAAGGCGAGAATTTTAGCCACTAGGCTATTACACCAGGTCCAGCACTGTCTTCAATTTATGTTTAAAAATAAGTAATAGGTTATAGGACAAAATAAAGATAGGGCTAATCAAGTGAGGTTCCTAGAGAGAAAAAATCCTGTCCGGTTCTAAAAAGGTCAGGAGACAGAATGGCAACAGACGTATCCAGCAACATCAGATTTTCACATCCACGTGTAAGGGCCTATTAAAATGTAGAGGAGCAGTTCTCTTCAGGTTATCTGTCCTTGAGGTACACATCAGCCCTGCTAAAGGAACGCTCCAAGATCCAGGAGGGTTTCAGCCCTCTGGATGATGGACTAGGAGCACTCAGGGTTGATCTGTGAACTACTCCATCCCAGTGGTGTGCTACAGAATATACTTTTCTTTGTGTTTCTTACTGCTTATCAAAGAAAAAGAAAAATCAGGTCTGGCACAGGTAAAATCTGAAAGCTAAAAATGTGGATCAATCATCCAAATCACTCACTCCCCACCAAAAATGCATAATATTCACAACCAACCTGATTTGTCCTCGGTGTCATCAAAGTCAACATTGAAGGAATGACCACTATTGCTGATGATTTTAGCTGAGCTTGGGTCATACTTGATGCTAAGAGGTCGGAGGGAAGAGTCATATTTCACTTCTTTGGTTTTAATCTCAATCGGGGATTGCTGATCTCCATTGGCGATAGGGAAGAGTTCATTCCAATGAATAGGACCTTAAACATAAAGACCAAAAGAAAGGACTAAGTAAATTTTGTCATATTTGTTGAGCCCAGTGCACTGTGCCCCAGATTTTAAAAGGTAATATAATAAGATCCCCCTGCACAGGATTTTTGTATTACATACGTATGTAAGTATTTTCACAAGACTAGTTATTTTATTTGAGGTATGAGATGTTGCCCTAAGTCATTTTCACAATAGAACTAACCTTTCAACCATCAGAGCATGGAAATCTTAAGAAGTATTTTTCAAAAATACCAATCTAGCCAAAATGAAAAACAACAGTATAATCCACCACTCAAAACAATGAGACTCAGGCTCAGCTTCAAAAATCTGCTGTATTCCAGAGAACAAGACTGGACAAGTGAGAGGAACTGAGACAAGAAAGACTACTCTTCAAAATGTTTTCCATGGGCCCTGAGCGATGGTCAATTAGCTAGCTCTATGCCTTGCAAGAGCCAGGATCCCATATAGGTGCCACATCATGTCCTGGATTTCCCATCCAGCTCCCTGCTTGGGGTCTTGGAAAGCAGTGGAGGATGGCACAAAGTCTTGGGACCTTGCACCCATATGGGAGACCCAGGAGAGGCTCCTGGCTTAGGATCAGCTCAGGTCTGCTGTGCCATTTGTGGAGTGAACCAGTGACAGAGGATTTTTCAGTCTCCTTCTTACTGTCAATCTGCCTTTCCAATAAAAATAAGTATGTTTTTAAATACTGCCCACTCCCCCTACTTCTTTCTTCTATCATTCTCTTTTATCTTCCCATGGATTCAAAATTTTGCAATCTGTGCACACTAAGGGTCTTCAAAAAGCTCCTTCACATATTATGAGAGGGTCCAGTGCAGTGGTACAGCAAATTAACCCTTCGCCCTGTTGGACTGGCATCCCATATGGGTACAGGTTCATGTTCCACCTGTTTCACTTCTTCTTTTTTTAAGATTTTTTAAATTTTTATTGGAAAGTCACATATACGGAGAGGAGGAGAGACAGAGAGGAAGATCTTCCATCTACTGACTCACTCCCAAGCAGCCACAATGGCTGAAGCTGAGCCAGCCCGAAGCCAGGAGCCAGGAGCTTCCTCCAGGTCTTTCACACACAGGTGCAGGGTCCAAGGCTTTCAGCTGTCCTCAATTGCTTTCCCAGACCACAAGCAGAAAGTTCAATGGGAAGCAGGACTGCCAGGATATGAGCCAGTGCCCATATGAGATCCTGGTGTGTGTAAGGAAAGAATTTTAGCTACTAGGCTACCGCGCCAAGCCCTGTTTCACTTCTAATCCAAATCTCTGCTTACAGCCTGGAAGAGCAGTGGTGTTGGCCCAAGTGCTTTGCCCCTGCACCCACGTGGGAGACTTGAAAGAAGCTCCTGGCTCCCAACTTCAGATCAGCTCAGATCTGGCCATTTCAGCCACTTGGGGAGTGAGCTAGCAAACAGAAGAACATCTCTTTCTGTCTCTACTTTCCTGTATGTAAAATCTGCCTTCCAAATTAACATAAATAAATCTTTAAAAATATTATGAGAAAAACATGTATTGATTTCAAATTTTTTTGCACCAAAATTTATCTTTTTCATATGTTTTCTGAATTACCCTAGTATTACTGTACCGTTGATATGCAGTAGAATTGGGTTGCAATATGTTTCTCTCTAAACTTCAGAAGATACTTTTGTAATTACTATGCCAATGTTACATTACAAGCCCAACACACAGGACAGCTATCATCCTAATCCGATATTCAAAAAGTCAGGTTCACACATTAGGTTCATGAGAAGTAAACTGAGGCAAGCCAGTAAGCTCACCATTTCCTTGTCCAGCTTCTTTATTTTTCTGGGAGATTCTATTCAAGCTCTGCTTTGCAAAGTCAACAGCAAAGTTGCAGCTTCATGTAAGCTATAAGTTATTCCAGAGGTGTGACTCACTTTATACGTTAGAGGCTCTTATTTCCTCTTCTCACTATACCTGCAATTACACTGCTATCACCAGGAAGCAGGACACGGAGCTGCTAATCGTTTCCCTGTTGCACTGACAACTTTTTCTGCACAAAGTGAGTTCTAACTAGAACAATACAGCATGCCACCTAACCAAACACCTGATAAAACAACAATAAATACTCTAAAATGATAAAATGTAGAGTGCAATTTTATTCAAATGCAGTACACTGCAATCATCAACCACTTCAATCTCTAACAGCAATGTTTACTGCTCTGCTTTTGAAGTGTATGTCTTTCACATACACTTGGGTACCACAGCTTGAATACAGATCCACACACTCAGGTGCAGTGATGTCTTCTGTGCCTCTGACACTTTGGACTCAAAGCCAAAGTTCTTTGAAAAATCAAAACTCCTGGCTTAAAAATATGACAATAAATAGCATGCTTCCATATTCATTAAATACTTTCATTCACATTTCTGGATTCACTCGCTGTCTCTCAAAAAATTTCTGTTCCGGGCCCGGCGCGGTGGCGCAAGTGGTTAAAGGTCCTCGCCTTGCACGCCCGGGATCCCATATGGGCGCCGGCTCTAATCCCGGCAGCCCCGCTTCCCATCCAGCTCCCTGCCTGTGGTCCGGGAAAGCAGTCGAGGACGGCTCAAAGCTTTGGGACCCTGCACCCGCGTGGGAGACCCAGAAGAGGCTCCTGGCTTTGGATTGGCATAGCATCGACCATTGCGCTCACTTGGGGAGTGAATCATCAGATGGAAGATCTTCCTCTCTGTCTCTCCTCTCTGTATATCCGCCTTTTCAATAAGAAAATAATAAAAATAAATCTTTAAAAAAAAAATTTCTGTTCCACTGCCATCAAGCAAGAGTAAACCTAACGAGGTATAGACTTCAAACACGTGATGCATGTATCACAACATGTTGTTGACATTCTTGAGATTTAAAGCTTCTTCCTTCCTGATTCTTTTATATTCCTATGTCCCGTCCTTTAGAGCTCTTTTCAGGATGTCAAACCAAAATAAAGTAAAAAAAAAAAAAAAAAAAAGAAAAGAAAAAAATACTGATTCTTTGTACCAAATAGCCAATATTATCTAGTCAGTTTATTTCCTGGCATCTTAAAAGAGATCTCAAGCTAAAAAAAAAAAGAAAAAAACAAAAACCAACACATCGAACTTCAAATCCATTCAAACATAGATTCCTGAGTAGAGTTGTAAGTGGGATCCTCAGTGGATTCATGGAGCTAGATAGTTCACACTGGTGCGAAAGAACTTACAAATTCATGCAAACTCTCTACCTTCAGATGGTCTCCCCAACAAGCCACTGAACTTACCTGGACAATAAAATGCTGGACTCTATGCTTGGTATATGCTTGCAATGAAAGAATCTCAACTGAACTTGAACTGTGGTAATGCAACAAGGTGGAGGAATCCGCCATGGGGGGAGGGTTTGGGGAGGGGTCGGGAGAATCCCAGTGCCTATAAAACTGTGTCACATATTGCAATGTAATTAATAAAAAAAAAAAAGTAAAAACACAAACAAAAAAAACAAATTCATGCAGACTCATATTGTTTTCAGTGATGTGACGTTCCCAACACACATCAGTGAAATGATAAAGATTACTGGAAGAAGTTAGAGTTGTTTGTGATTCTGGGGCTCCTTCCAAGGCCTCCACTGTTGTATTTTATACATACAACTATTCTCAGTTTATTTTTCCTTTGATCTGTTAAATTACTGGGTTTGCCAGCAACTAAACAAGAAAAACACAACAAAACTTGCCTATTCAGAATACACTACATTTCCAAAAAGATTTTGCCAAACTTAACCCTACTTACTTCAAGGGGTGGTGCTCAGCAAGCTACTGCATTTAAAGAAAGAATGGCCCTACAGTTTCTAGCTGAAATATACGTGTACTCCTTATTAATGGTTTAAGATGGATGTTTTTAATTTCTCAAAATGAGCTTCATGGAAGCCAACAGTTCCTAATCTCATTACCCACTGAAATATTCATCTTTTTACTGAGGTTTTCCAAAACACAAATTAGACATTAGCAAAACGAGAACTTGTGCCATGGCTCAGTGGCTAAATCCTCTCCTTGTATGCTCAGGATGTCATGTGGGTGCTGGTTCCACTTCACATCCAGCTCCCTGCTAGTGGCCTGGGATTGCAGTAGAGGGTAGCCTGTGGCCTTGGACTCTGCGCCTTCATGGGAGACCTGGAGGAAGCTCCTGGCTTCTGGCTTTGGATCAGCTCAGCTCCAGCCAGCCATCCTGTGGCCACTTGGGGAGCGAACCAGTAGATAATGGGTCTTTCTGTATTTCCCTCTCTGTAAAGCTGCCTTTCCCATAAAAAATAAAGAAATCAGCAAAATGTAAGGTGATAAAATGTGGCTGTAGAAAAAAGAAATCCACCTAAGTAACAATTTTCACTACTAAGCACTAATTTCATGTACTGTCATTGTTAAATTCACAAGTTCTCAATCAGAACTTCAACATACTGCTAGAAATAAAATTTTCTTTGTGGACAAAAACTTCACTTAAAAATTGACTGCACAGTCCTTTTCAATAAGACATTTGCTAATCAAGGGGACATCAAGGGGACTATTATTATTTCTAGCCTTTATTTTGACAGGCATAAGACTTGGTGTCATTTTGAAATTGGTTTGAATAATTACAGTTTGAGATGATCAGATTAACAGAAAAACAAGAACAATGGTTTGCTTTTGATGATATGGGGTAATCAAGATACATATCTTACTGTCACTTCTATCAGTAATCATATTTTTATGTACTAATATTTCAGTAATGCTTTGCTGAGTCTCAGTCGCTGGGAGCATGCGTGTGGAGAGAAAGGAATCATGAGAAGTAACATAAAATTAAACTTCTTTTCCCGGACTGAAGCTGAAGTGTTCCAGCAGAAGCAGTCAACTGCAATAGCTGTGCCCACGCTTTGCACTTAATGCGTAAGGAATTGTCAGTATTTTGGTTGCTAAGAAGGCAAGCGAACCTTTAGTGGCAACACACAAGTTGTTAACATTTCTTCAGTACAGTTCTGAACACTGTTCCTTCTCAGTGAATAGTGAGTTTCAAACACTGAACGGGAACTCGTCCTCATTTCATTAAAGTGTGTCATCAGACTTCTCATCTCCAAGCTTTTAGCCGAGCTGATTACCAGGGACAGTCCTTGGCTGGGGAGACCCCCTGGGGGGCTGGGCACACCCGAAAGACCAGGCACTCACCAGCAAGTCGCCCCCTACTATCAACCAACACCTGCAGAAGATCCCCCCCTTTCTATACACAACTGGAGCTGCCCTTCGCTTCCTGCCTTGCGCTTCTGAGAGCGCTTGCTCAGTTGAAAGGGGAACCAAAAGTTTTTCCGAAGTGGGACCAGCAACGTGTGATCCCAGGACACAGGGTCCATGGAGCCAGCCCCTCGTTGGCTCCTGCACAAAGACCCCTTCCGATCCAAGCCAAGACAGACACACTCACCGTTGTGCTCGAGGTAGCCCCAGCTGATCCTCGACATGGTCCCCCGGGGAACTGGGCTCTGGAAGATGTGGCAGGGCAAGGACAGGCTGGGAGGGAGTGGAGTGTGCGGGCTGCTGCCAGGCTGGGGCGGGGACTGAGGGACTCCGGCGGCTGCAGCAGGAGCCCTGGCACCAGGGACCAGGGCGCTCCCGACCTCGGGCCCCAGAGGGCAGTGGCGTGCTGGGAGAGGCGATGGGGAAGTCCGCCCTGGTGGGCTGTCACCAGGGAGAGGCAGGCTGTCCGGGAACTTAAGCAAGTTACCCAGTCCTGGGGCAGTCCCACTGGGAAAGAGACAGGGATGCTGGTAGAGAAGTGATAGTAACGAAGGTGACAGGTGTAAACACAAAACTAATCACAATGATAATCACCACCACCTAAAAATAACTTCACTACTTAGTGAAGGCTTACCAGGCCAGGGGTTTAGCCAAGGCAATCACCCACATGTTCTCCTGAAGATCATGTCAGTATTCCCTTGAGGAAAGGGTTGTGACTCCTAGGAAGCAAGGAAATGATACTTCAGACAGTAGGTAAGCCCCAGTCCTCACAACCCCATTCTGTCCCCCTACCTTCCCCAGGTCTTAGGAACTGGCTGTCACTCCTAGAAGGAAACAAGAGCCTCTGATCCCCACCCAGGCCTGGCTCTGAGGCCCATGTGTCCTGTTCCTTAGACAGGTGCAGTGAGGGAAGCATGTGCGGTTGTTGCAGCTTCCTTTCACCCTGTGTGCTGCCCTTCTGATCACGCAGCCACGCAAGTCTTCAGGCTGTATTTTCTTGGATGCCAGGCAGGCTTACTACCCTCCACCCCAAATGCAGGCATGACCTGCACCTTGAGTTTCTGACCTGGAATAGTGGGCCTTCAGGTTCCCAGCGAATAACAGAAACTGTGACCCCCTCCCTCCCCACCGCAGTTGCTGTTCAAGCTGCCTGTAGGTTGGAGGCTGGCTGGAAAGTTGGAAAGCTGAGTGGTAAAGTATTACATATGGGCCAACTAAAGCAAAGAGCTTCTTAATGGGCATGGGCCTTCGTTCAAAGATGGGAAGAGTGACTGTGTTTGTTTCGTTCAACCCCTCCTTTTTTCCCTTGCCTTCCACGCAATTCCTGCAATAGCCTACACAGACTCCTGATACTCTTTGCAGTGAATAAGAAACACTGAAAACAATGCATTTGGGCCTGGCGCAGTAGCCTAGCAGCTGAAGTCCTTGTCTTGAACATGCCAGGATCCCATGTGGATGCCGGTTCTAATCCTGGCAGCTCCACTTCCCATCCAGCTCCCCGCTTGTGGCCTGGAAAAGCAGTTGAGGGTGGCCCAAAGCCTTGGGACCCTCCACCTGCATGGGAGACCTGGAAAAGGCTACTGGATCCTGGCTTAGGATCAATGCAGCTCTGGTTGTTGCAGCCGCTTGGGAACCGATTCAGCAGATGGAAGATTTTCCTTTCTCTCTCTCCTCCTCTCTGTATATCTAACTTCCCAATACAAATAAATCACCAAAAGAGCACTATCCAAACACACTGTACAGTTTAAAAACAAATCCTATAGAGTCTTACACTTCAGTTGCAGGGCCCGGCACAAGCTGGCTAAATCCTCACCTTGCAAATGCCAGCATCCCATGTAGGTGCTTGTTTGTGTCCCAACTGTTCCATTTCCCCTCCAGCTCCCTGCCTGTGGCCTGGGAAAGCAGTCGAGGACAGCACAAAGCTTTGGGATCCTGTACCTGCGTGGAAGATCCGAAAGAGGCTCCTGGCTTTGGACCAGCTCAGCTCCAGCCATTGGGACCACTTGGGAATATGCTCTCTGTCTCTCACTGTCACTGTAGAACTGCCTTTCCAATAACAATAAATGAATGTTGAAAAAAAAAAAGGAGTGAGTTATGTATGGGGTGAGGAGGGTATAAGTACTTTATAGACAAGGAAAAAAGGCTATTCTAAAACTAATTCATGATCATCTTCATATTCTTTTTCCTTGTTCTTTCCACTCTTTTCCCTTAGCTATATCTGCAGCAATGTCCCTTGGAAATGTTTCCTTCTACCTCTCAGCCTTCTTTCCATAAGGCTGCTTGTCACCTGCAGTAGCATGACCCCAAATCTCTCTCAGCTTCCTTGCAGCATCACAAATGGACAGGTCATCTGCTTTGGTTTTGGGTGACACTCAGACCACCACAAGAAATAGGCCAAAGGAGATCCCTGAGGGTATGCTGGGATTCTTGAACTTACTCTGTTTTTAAAGACTTATCTTCATTTTATTTGAAAGATAGAGTTACAGAGAGAAAGAGGTCTTTCCATCTGCTGGTTCATTATCCATACTCCCCAAATGGCTAAATGGCTGGAGTTGGGCAGAATCAAAGCCAGGAGCCAGGAGCTTCTTCAGGGCTTCCCATGTGGGTGTAGAGGTCCAAGGACCTGGACCATCCTGTGCTGCATTGCCAGTCCAAAAGCAAGGAGATGGATCGAAATTGAAGCAGCCAAGACTTTAACCAGCACCCATACGGGATGCAGACAGCACCACAGGCAGAGGTTTAGCCTGACTCTCTATGGCTCTGGCCCCAATCTTGACCTTCTTTTCTTTTACCCCTTTTGGTGGGGGTACAGATTTTCATTTCTCTTTCATAGCAAGCCTTGTCCACTTTTAACTTGTCTTCAAAATTTCCCTTCTGTTTAGCAGATAAGGTCAGGCACCTCTGTGAGCTCTCAGAAAACCCAAGAAGCTGACTCAAGCATCTGGGTGCTGCTGCTTGCGCTCCTTCCAACATGTTCAGTGCAAATGAGGACACCTGCCTTCTTGGCTTCCCAGGATCTGCTCCGCCCATGTTGAGTTATTTTTCCTCGGCGGGGCCCTATGGAGCTCAGTGCACTGCAATGACTCTTCTCAGCATATCTGTCTGAACTTGAACATTAAATTACATTTTCCAAACACTGAGTCAAACAACACAAACATTGAATTCAAGCAAGCACTGGAATGAACTGTATGTTGAACTGATAACGTAACCATATCGAAAAATTAAAGAGAATTTGAAAATAGCACTCTACTTGTACTCCTTTATAAAGTATAATATATTAAGAAGAAGAAGAAAATAATGAATTTTACTGATAGATGTGGTGATTGTAGGAATGTTGGGGTGATTTTGAAACTAAATTTTGTGTATGATGTTAAATAAATATATACTTGGATGATCTCAAGAATCATATGCTTACTGTGTTTTAAACAAAAATATGAAATGACAGAAGCTAATCAGAAACCCTATGATGCTGAGTTTAAATATTCCAGTCTACTGAATGACAATAAAAGCAATTAATACCCCAGTAATAACGAAGCTAATTTTTTTTAAATGGCAACTCCTAGTTTGCACAGTTAGTGTAAGACCCTATACCTAACTCTGAATTTGTAATTTTGTTGTCCTGTTTTTCTAAAAATGTTCCAAAATGGTCCTAGCTTCAAGGCTCAAAGATCTGAATCTATATTTTGCTATGAGACACACAGCACTGAGACCTTGGTTTCAAAATATCATCCTTCATTAAAAGGAATCAGAGCTCCTTAGAAAAGTCACTAGTTCTAGATCTAATCCAGGAAAAGGTGAAGATAATCCTGGCAAATATGTTTGTATTCTAGAACGCAGTAAGTGTTTTCAGAAACTAATGGGGTTGTATAACTAACACACACACATACACACACAAATATGAGGTTGTTTTGAAAGAGATCCCACTACCAAATTTGGGACAATCTGAGTGCCAAAAAAAGTAAAAGGTAAGAGCTTATAAATCTCTCATTCAAAAAACTATTCTTGAATCCATCTTTATTTCCTCCTGAATCCATCTTATGGCTCACAAAGAGATCCACACCATAAAAGTGAATTCGAGACAGGAAGAGAGACGAGACCGCCATATCAGCCATCCACTAAATACAGAGGAAATGACAGAATTTTAAAGGAGCCATTTTGCAAAGATAACGTATTGTCTTATTCAGGTAGGATCCACTCATGAGAGCTAAGATTACTGGGTCAAAGATTATTGAGGTAAAGATTATTGACTAATATAATATTCACACAGTCTAGGATTCATACAGATAAAGGATATATTAAATCCAAACACAATATGTAGACTTAAGTTAGATCCAAGACCAGAGAAGAAATCCCTTAAAGATATTTTGAAGACAATTTGGGGGAAATCTAAACATGTACATCAAATATAAAAGAGACTTAACTGATATTAACTTTCTTGGATGTGATTTGTGGTAGGACTGTGTTGGGATATGAATATCAAACCTGTAGAGCTGAAATACCAGGTCTGAAATTAAGTTTCAAATAATTCGACAATAGTTAGCGAATCTGATGGATCTCACAAATTTTCTCTAAGGCTTGGTTTTTGTTTGTTTGTTTGTTTGTTTTAAGAATTGGAGGAGGTTTAAATAAAAACCTTCTGTTTCTTCAAATGAAATAATTCATTAACTTTCTCTTTGTCCCTCAAAGATTCATTTAATTTACTTACTTGAATGGCAAAATGCAAAAAGAAGAATAGACAAACAAGAATCTTTGATTGCTTGGTTCACTCATCTTTACACTTTTGAGGCAGACAGATGAAATGTAAGCCCTTTGCAACAAAACCTCTTGAAATCCCCCCACTCCTCTGCAGTAAATCAGAATTGTGTGTCACAATGAGAATGATGTTGTAAATTACAAATCTAGCCATCAGGTATTTAACTAACATAGTAAAGTACTAAGGAAAAATCGAGCTCTGGGGTTAGTACTGTTTTGTTTGGGAATGTAGGTAGACTCATTTCCCGAGTGAACTGAAGTAGCTATCAGCTTCTGACTTTTATCAAGCAGCAAGCAAAGCTGAGGAAATCTGTCAATTACTTAGCGAGGCAAGTTACATGCTCAAGGACACAGACCCAATCTAAAGAGTCCCAAGTCCAAATGCTCTGCAATCTGTGCTGTGTTTCTTTCATTTATTAATCTTGTAATTTGTGCAGCTGGGACTTATTAACCACAGGTGTAACTTATCTTT